CTTCCTTCCTTCCTTCCTTCCTTCCTTCCTTCCTTCCTTCCTTCCTTCCTTCCTTCCTTCCTTCCTTCCTTCCTTCCCACCTTCCTTTTATTGTTGAGACAGGGTCCGGTCTCACTATGTAGTCTAGGCTGGCCACTAACTCACAATCTCCTGTTTGAGTCTCCCAATTGTTATGATTACACCTGGCCTTCCTGAAGCTGTTTCTGATTGGTGACAATTTACTCACATACAAGAACTCCCAGGTTGAGGCCAAATGATCATTTTCTACTTTTTAGTCATGTTTTTCATTATGAGAAATGAAAATGATTTTAAATCTATTTTTGAGGGTTTTTAATGAGATACTTTTGAATGAGATCAGTGAATATATTGACATATATTTCTATGTTATCTATTCAATATGAACAGCCACTTAGGGAAAATATTTAAGAAAATTGTGTACATTTGGAAACTGAACTACTGAAAGTTGTAAGCCAAATCATTGTGTGTCAAGATTCCATTGCAACTTTTGACCAACCATTTGGCTTGCAGTATGGTTTCCTGTCAGGACTGATAAGGGAATAATTGGGATGACAAGCTGATTACCTTAAGGAATGGAATAATTTACTAAATTGTGTGTCAGAAGTTGACCTTTTCTTACTCTTTTCACTTTCAAACAATTGGGATCTTGCTGTGGACTCTCCATTCTGATCACGCAAATGTGCTTCATTAACTATAATTCTATGTAGCATATTGATTTTTGTTCTCATTGTTCTATGTGCAATTGTCCATACTGGAGCTTGGTCTCTTGACTTTCATTAACCAATTTTACAAAATGAGCTTTGACTATCTTGGAACCTCGCTCGCTCTCTCTTCCTGTGTGTATTCTGATCTTACGAGGTCACTGCATTTGGAGAGGATGAGAGCATGATCTCACTCATTGGAATGGTTTGTAATCATTTTACTTTAAGGATCTACAAACTCATCTTCAAGCTGTGTGTATATCTTAGATGGTATTAGCTGAAATCATCATGCTTGTTAGAAATGCCCACATACAAAGTGCAAGCAGATGTGTTATGTAGAAAAATAGCCAAACCGATTACTTCATATACAGAGAGGGAGGCTTCAGAAAATTCAGCCAGGTAGTCCTTTGCAAAGCATCTATTTTGAAATGTTCTCCAGAAATTCTAGCAGTATGGAATGCACCTGCTTATGGTTGGGTCTTTGTTCAAAATAACATTTGGGCCCAAGGGAGCTGATTTGTGGCACAAAAGGTCTTTAGATGATCAGAAGCCCAGAAAATTTCCTTAGCTTATAATTGAAGCGAATTCTCTCCCAGATTGATCAAGGGAAAAGCAAGTTCTTCCTTGAGTAGGGCCAGGTGCAACCTAAATAAAGCAGCAACTTGCTTCAAATCTTTCCCAAGATAATGGAACAATGGCTGAGGTTAGGGTTATTATCACAAAGCTCAGCAATGGACAGGACTTAGCTTTTAACAGACTTAAATTGCAGGCTGCACACGTAAGTAGAGTATGCTGTTAGAACTTTGCAGATACCTGAGTGTTGTCCACAAGGAGACTTGCTGGCTGAGATGATTGATAGATGGGATAATGGAGCCTTTAATAGCCGTATTGCTAAATCCTTTCCATCCTAGGTTGGTAGTGACTTAAAGTAGCCAAGTCCTTCAGAGGGAGAATTGACACAGCAAGGGGAGCATCCGCTTGTCCCCAAGCTTGCTTTTTTTCCTTGCTGCAATCTTTAAACAAATACCAAACCACACTTTCCACCCTTTTCCCGCCTCTACTCTTCATTTTCAAGGTTTATCTGCTTTCATCAGGGAGCCCGTCGCAGAGTACAGACAGTCTGCACCCCTCCATTGCCTCCCCTGTGCTGGGAATTTCAGTAATGGTGGTCATCTATTTGTTTTCAGCGTTTTTAAGACTTGAAAGGTCTTTTAAAAGTGGTTTCATTTCTTGACTTAAAAATTGCCACCTGTGTTGACAGCCTCGCAGTATAGCTCAGCTCAAAGTGGCAGAAATCAGCTCCCTTGGCAATAGACCTAAAGAAAGCCATTGTTGCACAAAGGCTGCCCCACCTATGGAGAGAGCCTTTGTGCTGCTGTAAAGTAGTCCTCTTTCTTCTAGACCCATGATTTGTCCCTCAAGGCAAACCCTCCATGACCTACAGGACATCCTCTTCACAGAGGGCTGGGGTAAGGGGAAGTTACAAGCTACCCTTGGTTGTCATGAACACCTGATGCTGAGGTACTTGGCTTGTGCCCTACTCTACCCTTTTTATTTCCTATGTGTCTCATGCTGCAGTGGGAAAATAAACTAGATCCAGGTAGGAAAGAAGAGATGAAGGCAAATACTGTGTTAAGGCCGAATATTCATTGATAGAACTTTAGGGGTGAGCCATTGGTTCCTGGTACATATGCTTTGGGACAAATGTGAAAATTTTACAATTTGTATTATTTAGAATTGAGGTAGAAAATCTGCTCCAAATGATTATTATAAAAAATATGTATGATACACACATATATAATTTTTGTTATGTAGATGAAGAAAAATGAGTTGATGGGTTTTAAATAATTGACTACCTTATGCAGGTATTAATAAATTAGCTATTACTTATTATAGCAATAGATCTGTATTGTAACCTATCAAAGTATTACTGTATTACCCAGTGTTAATTAGTACTAAGACATTGTATTTTTATTCACTATTCTACTAAATGTTAACTATTTTGTATTTTCTTCCATGTGTTTCTATTTATTTTTGGTTAAAAAATAATACTAATTAATTGAGAGAAATGCTTAATTAATGACTTAATTCAGTGAAACACTATATGGATGCTATTTCTTTCATTTTGTTTTGCATGCAGAGATGTCAAAATTTTACAGCTCTCCCAACTATTCAGCAATATCTCTTTATAACCATGATAAAGATGTGCTGTCGCTCATTTACAGGAGCCACAGGAGTAGTTTTCACTGTGATTTTAAACATAAGTCATGGAGGAGATTCCAGCACACTGTGTAATAATCATATTTTATGTCTGTCATTCAGCTTCCATTGTTTCTCTCATGTGACATTCTCTGCTATTTTTTATTTTTATTTAAAAGGTCATTTCTTTTAACAAATTTCATTATAGACCAACCCTGGCTACCTGTGGCGTGTGGCTGACTCTGTTGTATTGCACTATTTAAAAAATGTCTACTTCTTTATGAGGTTACAAATTGCTCCTTCATTTATTTTTGTGATTTTTGGACTTAGATGCAGGATTCCATTCTGCCACAATGCATACAAATCATACTATTGAAAAGGCAGAATTGTCAAATGACAACAACTGTAAAGTGATAACAATATTCATGTGTATGAGATCTTTTTCAAAATTGTCATTATTTGGAATGATTTTATTGAGTTGCTGCTTTAGTCCAGTCATGTCTACAATCTTACTTAAAATGTGTCACCCTTCTATACCAGATATCAGTGTTTGATGCCTGTAATCATAGCTACAATGGAGGCTGGGATCTGAAAATTGTAGCTCCAAACCAGTCTAGGCAGAAAAGTCCTTGCGACTCTAATTGCCAAATGCTCAGCAAAAAGCTGGAAATGGAAGTCTCTCAAGTGGTCGAGTACCATTCTTGAGCAAAAACAGCTAAGGGACAGTACTCAGGCCCTGAGTAGAAGCCTCAGTAGCAACATGTTAAGAAAAAAAAAAGGTACCTTTAAGGTAAGGGATTGTCTTCATTGATCTACCTTTTGAATTCTCTGACAAGGGAAATCCAGCAACAGTGGCCTGTTTACTTTTTATAGTGATAAACACAATTACATGAAGAAGTCAGTTTGTCCTAACCAAACTCATTAATTTACATTTCCAGGGCCCTGTGCTGGTCATTTCATTCCTTAAGCTCATCAGGAAGTGAATGGGTGCTTAAAGCTGGTAAGGTGTTATCCAAATAGGGTCAGAAAAATAGTTGAAGAAAGAAAACTCTTTTTTCCCACCTCTTTCTGTCAGAATCAAATTTCTAGACCACTGGGAGAAACAACTTAAAAACACACCTGAAATTTCCACAAGACCTTGAATTTTCTTTTCACATCTCCCCATGTAGTATGTCAGAGAGCAGCATGAGTTTAAAAAGCTGGTTACGAAATCCTGCTGCAGAATGCCAGACCCTTCAAGACTGCATGATGTGTGCAGATTGGGAAGGAAGGAAATGGGATTCTTTTTGAGAGCAGAGTGGAAATTGCTCAGTATTTCTTGCTCTGCTTTCCCTCTGCCCAATAGTCTTCCTTGAGCTCCTATGGCTCCCTAGGACCCACACACAGTTCAGCAGCCTATTCAGCCAGCATGGCTGAGTCTCCAGGAAGCAAAGTCTATCTGTTCTAATGGAGTTGGTGAACAATTGGTAGCTGCTTTGTTTGCATAAGCAGAAACTCTCTGGTGAAGTGTGCTTCTTGCTGAAGGCACTGGGCTGTGTTATTTGAACAGTATTATGGAGTGAGTCTCTGAGCACACATTTGTCCCAGTGAGTGTGGTTATAAACATCCACTAGTAGAGACTGGGGTATTATAAAGCCTAATCTCTTCCCATATTATTTTTGTGTCAGGATATTTTTAATATGCTTACTGACTGTGCCCATATGCTTGGAAATTTTTGTCCTGGACATTACTTCATTATTGCTTACCAACAAATAAGACATTGCAGGCCTAGCAGAAAGAGAGCAATGGATGAAGTTAGGTTGGTTTGTTTTTTTTTCAGATAGAAGCCAACCAGAGGGACTCTTCATGTACCAAGGCTCATGAAACCCTCCTATTCCTTGCCAATGAACACTAAGAACTCTGTTATTTTTGAAGATAATTATCAAGCCAAAGTCTGCCGCTATCTTTCAACTCTGAAATAAAACAAAGGCAGGTACCAGTGGCTCATGCCTGTAATCCCAGCTACTTAGGAGACTGAGATCTGAGAGTCATGGCTCAAAGCCAGTCCAGGAAGGAAAATTTGTGAGATTCTCATCTCTTCTTAATCAACAAAAAGCCAGAAGTGGAGCTGTGGCTTAAGCAGTAGAGTGCCAACCTAGAACAAAAAGCTCAGGGACAGTGCCTTGAGTTCATGCCCTAATAGTGGTACATGCATGCACATACACAAGAATAACTTTTTAGTGTAAAAGTGATGTACAATGGGGTTACACTTATGTAAGTCCGTGATGAGTACATTTCTTTTTCACCAGTGTTACCTCCTCCCTTGTTTTCTCCCAGTTAGTTACCCCTCATAGGCCTTTAAACTACCCAACTCGGTAGATGTCCTTATCAACAGATGACTAAGCCACGAGGAGCCTTGGTAGAAGGCCATCAGGGAAGTGTGTTGTCTAATAACCAATGAAGCGACATTGCTAAAACTCAGAACCATCCCACTGGAGTGCTTTTGTTCCTTGTCTGACTTCCCTTTTAGGTTAGAGGAGGACATGTCCAAGGCTAGTAACGCATTGTTTAATCCACCCTTGGTTAAGTTTCAAATCTTAACTGCCATCCTGTCGTAAGCGGGGAATCAAACAAATTGGATCCTACAATTACAGTGAAACACATACCTACCCATCGCCACCGCAGGGGCAGCTTTCAAGTGTGCAGTGGACCTGGAGACTCCTCCAATTTTCTGATCTACTGTAGCAAACTTTTATTCCGCTTTTGATATTTGTTTCTTAGTCCCCTTGTGTTTGTTGCTCTCACAAGTAGTTAACCTAGTGTTTCATGTTCATGTTTGCCGAACTTCATTAGGAAGGCCAGCAATGCTGACCATGTATGCTGTGTGCCAAAACCAGAAGCTTAACGAAACATGAGGTGTGCGCGTACTGGGGAGCCACGCTGTGCTTCTTCAGGTTTCTCAAAAACACTTGATTTTAGGAAGAAAAAGAAAGATCACAGAATTTGTGAAATGTTTCTAAGTCAGTTTATAAGAATTGAAAGAGAGAGCCAGAATTGAACTGGGGCTCTCAGTGGTTGAGTGCTTGCCTAGTATCATGCCCAGACCCCAGGTTCTATTCCCAGCACCACAACTTGAAAGTGAGTGGCTAGCAGCATGTGGTATGCCATTCCCTTCTTGCTAACCAGGTGTGCTTTCCTTCCACAGCCCAGCTCTCGGCCAGTGGCACAGAGCGGCCGGCACTCGGTGTCCGTGGAGGTTCAAGTGCAGCGCCAGCGACAGGAGGAGCGAGAGAACTTCCAGCAGGCCCAGCGCCAGTACAGCTCACTGCCCAGGTACACAAGAGGCTGCCGAGTGCCCCAAACTGCCCCTTAGACTGTGGTGGTTTCTCCAGCTTGCACAGGGCCATCTGAGAGAACTGGCCAGGGAAGTTCTGCTTGGCCTGGGCGGGTGCATCTCGCAATATGGCAGCAAGACAAGAAGAAAGGGTTTTGTTTTGGTTGTGTGTGTGTGCGCGCACTTCCAGCTCCACTTCCAGCATTTCTGCTGGCTAATTGGAGATAAGAGTCTCACAGCTTTTTCTGCTCAGGTTAGTTTCAAACCATAATCCTCAGATCTCAGCCTCAGGAGGATTACAGGAGTGAGCCACTCACACCTAACTAAGAAATTTGTTTTTAAAAAGATGCTAGAAAGTCTACCTGAAAGCTCCTGAGCCAGAAGTGCTATGATATGGCATATGAATACTGGACTTAGTAATATGACCTGGGTTCTATTCTAGTCTTATTTCTGTGGTTTCGCATGTGGTCACAGGAAAAATAAAATATCCCTTGCCTGCAATGTGAGAAGACCTTTCTTTTGCTTGGCTCACAGGGTACCTGCATAAGTGCTGCGTGGTACATGTAGGTAAAGGGCGTGAGGGTGAGTGCTGGAAACGACTTTTCATGGGATTCACTCATAGTGACCATCCAGTGGCCCTCCAGTCTACTACTGTACAGAGTGAGGACACAGAGTCCCAGGAGGTGAAGTCCCTTAGCAGACAGCCACACAGGCATAGTTTTCCTCCTGGGCTCCTGGGGACAGGCACCTCCGCTCCAGGCACCCTCTGCTAAAGATCAGGAATGTTCCGTCATGCTGGGCTCCCAATGCATGAGATAAGAGCCATTTTCCATCAAAGCATTTCTTCCAGGCAATATATAATAAAGAAAAAATACCTAGCTTTTCAAGTCACTCTTGTCTTCACAGTTATTACCGACATTTGTTGCCCTGTTTCAAAATCATATAACAAAGGCATTTCTAGTGTACAAAGAATGCAGACCCCATATCGATGTCAGGAACAGAGCATTTAAAGTTTGAACGAAGGAATTTTGGCAAGGGGAGTAGTTATATGCCTGCATTTAATTGATGTAAAGGTGACCTGATTCCATTTCTTATAAAGGTAAGTTCCTTGACATGTTAACTAAGCACTAATAGACTTCATACTGACATTGGTCAGCCAAGAGGGAGGGGTGGGGTGTGTGACCGATACAGAAACTTGCTTGTGGCGGGTTCTGTTTCAGCCTCCAAGGCTGTTTTCGTTGCTTTTAAATAGGAGGGCTCTCCCTAGGAATTATTTAGCCCAGTCTGGGTAAAAGAGAAATGTCTAATTTTGGACAGGTCCTTGGAAAATACTTCACAGTTAGTGAGTCTGTTTGTCAGAATTCAAACTCAGACCTTCTTATGCCATACGGGACCATTGCTTTTGTTCCTAAATTTGGGCGTTAACAGGTGGGACCCTTCGGAGCTCTGCTGGCCTTAGCATTTGGGAAAGGGCCACAGTGTGACTAAATCAAATAGTAAACATCTGAGAAATGTACATAAAGGTTCTGTGAGATCCTCTCTCCCGGCCTGTTTGGCTTTCCATGGGGAAGGCGAAGATGATGATGTAGATGATGAGCATACCAGCTATGGTGCCAACTCCATAGCCACACAGGAGGCATGGCCTAGCATGGCTTATACAAGAGAGGTTACAGGCCTCGCTTCTTACGTTTACTGGCAAAATACCGGCTTCATAAGTTTCAGCTTTGTTAGAGTATTTCACTGGGTGCTGGAGGCTTACACTTGTAATGTTAATTACTTAGGAGACTGAGATCTGATGATCAAGGTTTAAAGCCAGCCCAAGCAGGAAAGTCTGCAAGACTTTTACCTCCAATTAACCACCAAAAAGATGGAAGTGGAGCTGTGGCTAAAGTGATAGAGTATCAACTTTGAATGAAAAGCTAAGGGACAGCACTGAGGCTCCGAGTTCAAGCCTCAATACTAGCACATGCGTGCGTGTGTGCGCGCACACACAAACCAGTATTCTCTAATGAGGGAAGGAACTTAGGAAATTCAGTTGCCTAAGACAAGAACACTAGAGAGATGGTGGCCGTTGGTCTGAAAGGTGGGTGAAGAGAAACACTAGCGTTGTGAGCCTTACGAAGTCTCCTCCACTGCATTTCTCCTGGCTTCATTCCAAATAAGCTTCTGTGTGCAGCACTATAGCTTTTCTCCAATAAACTTCATCTTCTCCACTCGGCATCTTTGTTCATTAATTTTAACTGCCATGTTTAACTGTACATATTTATGGAGTATAATATGACATATCATACCCGTACACGGTGTGTAATGATCAAATGAGAGTAATTGGCATGCTGTCCTCAGACATTTGTAGTTTCTAGTATTGGGAACATTCTGAGAGTCCTCTCTTCAGTTGTTTTGAAATATCCAGTTAGTGATTGTCACTATAGTTTTATCACCTATAGTATCCCTCTTTTCCTACCTCCCCTCCCGCTCCCCAGAAGTACCTTGTAGAACTGACTTCACAAGGTTAGGCAGGCTGTCGCCACTGTTGCTAATAATTGCCCCGCTTAGTATTTCTAACAAAATAAACTTTCCCTGTAGGCTAATCCTACCTCTTTCATTTTCATCATTTTATTCCATTTAGATGTAAGAAAAGCAGACAGCCCTCAAAGAAAGAGTTGTGTGAGTTTTGGGCAGGGGGGGCTGGGTACCTTCTGCATGGTAGCCTTGTTTAGAGAAGAGCTTAGTGTGGTCTGTGGTATGATGAGCAGGCTCAGGGCTGAGAGCCCTGCTCTAGCTCCACTCCTGGCAGAGCATCGTCATCCACAGCAGGCTGCGCACGAGGCATCAACCAAGGAAGGGAAAGAACTCCACCAGGAGCTGACATGTGCCATGCATGGATTCATGGAAACACTTAACCTTCTGTTTTTCAGATGTGGTCAGTTAACAGAGAGCTGTCTAAACAAGTTGGTGTGATATCTGAAACTAAAAAGATTACACACACACACACACACACACACACACACACACACACACTTCAATGGCACAGTGGAGTGCATACAATGAAACAAATGGTCAAGACTTTGTATCACTTGCATTAGATGAGGTGGTTTGAATTAGAGGGATGAACGTGAGCCAGACTCATTTGTACATTCTAATTGTAATTAAGGAAATAAATCTGAGTCAGATTTGGAAATATCAGAGAGAAAAAAAGCTGGGTAGAATCACTGGGATCTTTTCTTTTCTTTCTTTTTTGGGTCCGGTCATAGGGCCTGAACTCTGGGCCTGGGAGCTGTCCCTCAGCTCTTCAGCTCAAGGCTAGCACTTGAGCCACAGCGCCACTTCTGGCTTTTTTCTTTTTGCTTATGAGGTGCTCAGGAATCGAACCCAGGGCCTCAGGCATGCAAGGCAAGCGCTCTACCACTGAGCCACCTTCCCAGCCTGGATCCTTTCTTTGTAAATGCCTAGATTAGTTTCTCTTGTTAGTATCCCGCATCCAGTCCTTAAACAAAGCCCAGGTATGTATGTATATTCATGGATTCTTCCAGAAAGACTTAAGATCCTTGATTAAATATTTCTCCAGAGTTTTTTCCTGCTGTTTCTCTCCTTCCTCCCATGCCTTGGCTGTCTATCTGCTGTTGCTTCTCTTTATACTAGGTCTCCTCCAGTGTGCTTCCCATCAGGTTTCTTTGATCCTATTTCCTACTTGTCTACTTTATTTTGCTTTGTCTTACTGCTGTGCCTTGGTGGCTAAACCTTCTTAGAGTTTAGCCATCTTTGTGGAGACAGACCTCGGGCCTGATTGAAGTAGTTATTACCAAGCTAGGATATATACATGGACAGATGCAGAAATCTCCAGAAGCTCAGTGCAGGACCCCACAAACCAAGGTATGAAATATAAAGAAAAGAAAACTGTTGTTATTTGTGGCGGCAGGATCCCTGGGTTGTAGGCAGAACAGGAATCTCTGACCATAGTTTTCTCCTAATTTCTGAAGAAGTATTGGTAGAGTGGCCTCCCTTAGTAGGAACTCTTTGATCTCTAACCCAGTCCTTCCAGTCAAAAGGGACAAAGTTCACACTGGTGGTTACTTTTCTTCTTTGGTCCATATGATCTCCTGCAGAACCCAGAGTCTAATCCTTGAAGGCAAAGTGGCTATCTGGAAACTGTCTATTTGTCAATTATTTAAATTGTGCCACTCCCCCAGTCCCTTTCCTAGGCATTTTACACAAGACATCTCACTTATTTCTCCACACTACTTTATAAACTCAGTTATGATGCCAGTTCATAGATGAGGTAACTTGGGCCCTGCAGCATCACACAGGATCACACAGCTACCAATCAAGAGTTTCAGGGTCTGAATCTATGTCTGGTACCATGCTCCTCTTTCCCACACCCAAAGGCCTAGATGTCTGGCATTCTAGTTTAGGATGCTCATTGTCTGCTTCTTTTCTCGTTGCCTCATTTCTCATCCATTTATCAATCAAGGATGCATGTTTCCTTACCGCAAGGACATGTTTATATTTGTTTGTTCTTATCTATGCATGAATCTGTGTCTATTTCTGTGTGTGTATATAGCTATGTATATATCTGTGTGTGTATTTTTCTGTGCATCTGTGTCTGTGCCTGTGTGTATGTGTGTGTGTATGTGTGTGTGTGTACTTAATTCAAACCTTAGGGCAGAGTTTTTCCTTTTCTCTATACTGATTAATATGAAAAATCTTTAGCTACAAGAAATTCATTCTCCCACATTACCATAATTTCCATCCTCAACAAAACTCAGTGAGTTCTCATGTATTTAAATATAGCAAGACTCTAAATTCCTGGGAGAACACAAAATTCAGTTCAGGGCACACAGCCACTATAAAGTGACTACCAGAGGTCTCATGGTGTTGGGGAGAAGGGGCTTGTAGTTTTCAGTAGTTTTCAGGATTAAAAACAAGAAGCAAAATTTCTGCAGCCTATTTCTGATTATCTTTAAATTGATAACTCAAAGGAGCGCCTCCTCCCCACTGCTGTGGTATCAGTAACAAGTTCATTGTTTTAATTAAAGTTTCATGATTAATGTCAGGTCCCTTGTTTCATGCTGACACTTTCTATCATTCATGTCTCTGGGCAGATTAATTTATGGCTTTTTAAGTGAAGATAATCAGTGCTTTAGGCAAATAAACTATTCCATCAAATCTAAGGAATCTGTCTTGAGCTGATGTTGCAAATGATCTGATTCTCACTAAGAGAGACAGACAGAAACACTGTCTTCGGTTTAATTAATCATCGTTAGATCCAGAGGTGGCACTGGACATTGTATTCAATTTTCAGCTTGAAAACATGGCTGAGTACATTTTAGGCCATCTGGGAAATGGAGAGATTCCATCCCCAACAGTATCGCCAGCACTTCAGAAAGTTCGAAATACAAATTACTCCTCCCTGTGGGACACCAGTGGTCCTGGCACCCCCAATTCCCTGCCACAGGGGCGCCCTGTGTGCAGGGGCTGAGCGATGCTGGCTGTCGCCAAAATGATTTTCTTATTGATAAATGGAGCAATATATTTGCTTTATTACTCAATCGTCTCTCCTCCTTCCATTTTCAAAACAAAAAAAAATTAGGGCATGTCTTCCTTCCTGGCACAAAATTGTTTCACTTTATCATAGGCAATCTTATTGTAAATTCATAAAAGCATCTAGAGACTGGATAGTAAATTAAAGATGTTTCAAAACAATAATGTTTCCTGAAAATCATGTGCTGCTTTATTGCAGAAGTGATGAGTTTGAAGTTTCTGGATGACTCAGATTTATTTCTCTCTCTGGGGCTAACAGAAAGTAGCGAAGCATGGTACCCTAGCCTTGGGTGAGGGAGAGTCATGCAAGGAAGCGGGGTTTTTACCCTACACCTGCGGCTTATCCCATCCAGACAAGTGCCAGCTGCTGACCCGGATCTGACAAGCTGGAGCTCAAAGGGGCTGCCTGTTGCATTTTTAATCACTAAGAAGTCTAGACTTAAATCTTTCATAGCAGAGCTCATATTGTAATCTATTACATGTACTTCTTATTAGCTAGCATTGCTGGCATGATGGTGGCAGCTGTGTAAAATATTTGTTTTGCTTGTTTAGAATTGAATTGTAACATTGTAAAGCAAGTAGCAATTATTGCTGTTGGTAGGTACTGCCAAATTTCAAACACTTCTATACTTGAAAACCAGTCCAAATAGCAAGAGATATGGTTCCCAGAAGCAAAGTAGATCACATCTCCCTGGAAGCAGGAAGAGAAGGCCCTACTCCTTCTGTTCACCCAATCTTTGTCCACTTAGCTGGGCCAGAGAGCTTGTTGAGGACGGCTGGCTTTGGATTTCTGGTTCCTCACTTGGCATAAGGCAAATGATTCAAAAGGATTCGTACATATTCACTGAAGCAAGAACACGTACAGCACACCCCTTCCCTCTCTCCCCTCTCCTCACCTCATACTAACCTTGGGACTTTGCTTTCTTTCTAGGCAAAGCAGGAAGAATACCAACTCAGTCTCCCCGGATTCCTGGGAGCAGAGTTGTCCCCCAGGTGAAGGTTTCCAGAGTGCCAAGGAAAACCCCAGGTACTCAAGCTACCAGGGCTCCAGGAATGGCTACCTGGGCGGGCATGGCTTCAACGCCAGGGTCATGCTGGAGACCCAGGAGCTGCTCCGCCAGGAACAGAGGCGGAAGGAGCAGCAGATGAAGAAGCTGCCTCCTCCCGAGGGACCCAGCAATTATGACTCATACAAGAAAGTGCAGGATCCCAACTACGGCCCTCCCAAGGGACCCTTCCGGCAAGACGTGCCCCCATCCCCTTCACAGGTTGCCAGGCTGAACAGACTCCAGACTCCTGAGAAGGGGCGGCCCTTCTATTCCTGAGCAAGAGCGAGGTCAACGGAGGCTCACATCACACAGTTAAGGACGTTTCCTGGGAAGACTTGTATTGGGGGAGTTGTTGTTTGTTGTTGTTGTTTTCAAAATCCTCCATGGTACTATGGGATAGTTCTGTCGTTGGTATCAGTGCCTTTAAAGCAGTACCGGCAAAGAATGGAAGGCCTTAACGTCTTTGCCACTATGACTCAGAGTTTGTTTCTTGGAAAGGTTTCCCACCACTGACAATCATCTGTGTGAGGCATTCTGCATCTCTGGAGGACAGGATCTTGGTCCCCTGGCATCAGATGGCCCTGGCTTCATTGCCACAGCTCCTTTTCTGGAAGCTGAGGGTATTGCTGATTGCTCCCTTACCCCTTGGCTGCCCTGGCCTATGAGACATCATGGCCATCTGTGAGGGATGAACATGGGCAGTGTACACCAGAAACGGGGGCTCCCTCATGCTGCACAGCACAGTGGTTTCTAGGACTTTGTAATCAATCTGGGTTTCCCTTTTTCCTTTTCAGCTCCTTGTAAAAGGAAAGTTTTATCATCCTATGAAAGAAGCCAAGCCATATTCCAGCACCATTTGGTTATTGGGGTGGGGGGTGCCTTTTGTAACTGCCTTATACATTACCAATAAAGTGATGATTTGAGTCCATGTTTATAAACACACTTGTTCTGTCATGTGCCTGACACGGGCTGAGTCAACGCAGCTCTGTGTAGGGACCTGGGGTGGTTTAGATGGGGAAAGGACTGGGTGTGCCTGGTGGTTCTGTGAATGGGGGGGAACCAAGAATACACTTCTCACGAGAGGAGCTGTGGCCAGTCTGTGCCATCATAATCTTAATTCAATTTTATTGTGTCATGTTGGCAAGAAGGGCACAGAGTGGGATGATAAATCTCACACAGTCATTTGTGGATTCTGAAAACAGATCCATTTTAAAGGAATTTTGGTATTTGTCTAATCCACCCACACATGGTACCCCTATGTGGTGATGCCATTTAACTAAATAATTCTGCACTGAAATAGAAAAAAAAACAGAATAAGGAAAAAGCCATTGCACATCCCACAGAGAACATTTTGGTGTCCCTCAACCAGCAGTAACAAAAGGTGGCATTCATGTCAATGTTTTAATGCACGTGTGGGTGACAAGTCCCCTGGAGACTTTTCCACTTTCATTTGCTGCCCTGAATATTATATATTGTAAAACCATGGCTGGCTTGCTGAAGTGCCTGCGATCCTGATATAAAAAATAAAAGCTTGAGATAAAAGCTTGATGTCCCATATATTAACAAAAAGAAAAAAAAGACTAATATTGAGATGCCTATTTTTTTTTACTGGCATATTGTATTTTTTGTGTAGACTTGGTTTTAGAAAACATCGTGAAGTGTCCATACATACCTATGTCTCTTTTGCATTTCTCTGTGATGGTTCAATTTGTTAATAACGTGCACCAGTGCTTAAGTGTGTCACCAGTGCAAGCACGGTGAGCTTGAACAGCAGTAGCTCTTTCTCACAGCCTTCTCTGAGCTATGAGAAACAGCTTTCCCTGTATATATGAGTCTTCTAAATAAAAGGTATATTTCTTCCTGCTTGTTGTTTTCCTGTGCAACCTGTTCTGTTTTTAATGTGTTAAACAGTTGTAATATTTTTCATATTTAGTAGGAATGTAATATTACTTCATATATGTTCATGTATAGACATGGAAGTGGTGATTCATTGCTTATTGGACCCATGAGGATAGATGGGGTGAGAAAGACAAGGATTCTTCTTCTTCTTTTTCTTCTTTTTTTTTTTTTGTAGGAGGGTGGATTGCAATTCTGGGATTTGAATTTGGGACAGCCTGGTTGCTTGGCTTGGGTGGTGCTCTACCATATGAACTGCACCTCTGGCCCAGCTTTTTGCCAGTTATTGGAGATGGAGTCTATTGAGCTTTTCTGTCCTGCTTGGGCTAGAACTAACATTCTTCATATCTCCTGTGTTGCTAGGATTATAGACAGGAGCCACCAATGAATGTCTGGTAAAGAGTCGCTTCTCAGTAAAACCACAGGTGGCCCAAAGAAGGCTGATAAAATGAGTCAATATCCTAGGAGAAAGGAAAAGGAGAGTTATGTGGAGCCCTTCATATGTCCATTGCTAACTTGGGTCTCTTAGCATCATCTTGGAAAGCCAGAACTTCTCATTGAGTCCCTACCTCCCAAACCATGATCCCAGAGAAAGGTCCAATTTCTAGTCTACTTCCAATACTAATCTAGTTCTTCTATTTCAAACCACAAAACAAAGTTTTGTTGTATCTTTTGGATGGACATTTACTTAATATGGTACACGATGTTTGAAGGTATAAAAGGTGACACATCCCTAGCTGGGTATTATGAGCACAAATAAGTGTTGTGGTTCTCACCCAAAGAGCAAGTGTGTAAACCTTTGCACACATGTCCTGGTGATGGCAGGCCTTCCATTCTTGGTCTCATGGATGCTTTCATCCTGTCACAAAGTCTGAGTTCTAGTTTCTCAAGATTAGAAATGAAAGGTGTCTGATGTTTTTGTTGCTGGCTTGTATGCAGATATGGAAAGAATGGTCAGATTGTTAAATATTCTCACTGGCCCATGGCCAGTATCAACGCTTACAGACAGATTATTGATCTCAACTGACAGCAAGAAGTAGAACAGGAGAGGTAATGCTGAACACAGTAGCAACTATGTCACCTAGGTATTTGTAGATTAAAAACTGATGATTTGAGCTGAACTGGGGAAGAGAAGTAGGAGTAAATAAGAGTCAGCATAGGGGTAAAAAGCTCTTCTGTCAACCATTCTTACCTAAATGAAGTGCTTTGGGGGCTCAGATACTTTATAGGCACTTTAGGGAATCACCTGGATAGAGTTCCAAAAATTTTTCAGGCTGAGTCTGGTAAGCTATGTAGTGGGCTCTACCCAGGACCCTTCAGAGAGAAGCCCCCAGCCCATGAAGAGGAGCTGATGGGGACCCTGAGATTAACCTTAGTTGGAGATGGAGCAACATAGTTATTTAACTGCCTCTTAGAGGAGAGAATCCACTCTGACCTGTTGCCATCCTTAGTATAAAAACAATATACCTGTTAGCTTTACCTGCTCTGATGAAATACCTGACACTCATCAGATAAAGAGGCTTATTTCAGCTCATAGGTCTGGAGAATCAAGCCCAAGATTGGACAGATCTGCATTGCTTTGGGCCTCTGTCAAGGGTAGCATATTGCTGTGTGAGAGCAAGTTATCCCATAGTGAGCCAGGCCACAGAGGAGAGGGAGAGAGAGGAGAGGAAGAGACTGGCGTTCCACAGTTCTCTTTGAGGACACACCCCAAGTGACCCAAGGACCCCTACTAGGACCCACTTCTCAAGGTCCTGCCACCTCCCAGTGATGCCGCCTGGCAATACTCATGCACCCATGGCAACTGTCTAGATTGATAGGGTATGAGATGTGAGACTTTCCCTCCTACTTTCTCTCTTTGTGGTCAGAGCAAAGACAGCTCAGAGGTCAGAGCGTCCCATAATTGACAGGCTGGACAGAAGGACCTGGGCTTTTCAGGTTCTTCAGCCAAAGAAATCAAATATACCAAATATTTCTTTTCATTGAATGGGAGGGAATACTGATCTTGTTCCAAACCCATTTTGAAAATGGGTAGAAAATACAAAAAGATTAACTACTCTAGGCACTGGTGGCTCACATCCTAGCTACTCAAGAGGCTGAAATTTGAGGATCATGGTTCATAGCCAGCTCAGAAAAGAAAGTATATGAGAATCAGAGAGCTAGCCTTGAGCACAACAGCTCAGGAAGAGCACCCAGACTGAGTTCAAGCCTCAGGGCTAGCGTGTGCACTTGCGTGAGCATACACACACACACACACACACACTCAAAACTTACTTCTCTGTCAGAGGGGTTCTTTGTGATTGTCCCCATGAGGAGCCAGAAAAGCAGATGGGTTAGATAGAGACCAGGAGTCACAGAAGCTTCTCCATCCACATCTCTACTGAATTTACAGAATTACTGAATTAAGACGTCCACTATACTCTCCTCCAATATTGTTACTTGAAAGTACACATTTGTCTACATATACCACATGCAAAACATGTCTTCAGTTCTGAATTTTGTTATTTTAGTGTGTTCCAGTTTCATCCTGTGAGTTGTTGAAGTTCAGGGGTTGCCCCACCTTGATCAATCACCTCAGATTAAACAAATATGACTTGCGTTCTGGTTTTGTTTACCAATTGTGGGAGAGAATATGTCACTGCGGTTCTACTAACTACCCCTGAGCAATAAATGTTCTTCTCTGGATAGCATAAGATGCCATAAATTTAAATATCTGTTTAACAGCTCTCTTTTTTCCTGTTTTTTCCTCTTCTGCTTTTTCTTTCCCCCAAAGATTACTCCAATACTGACATGTCAGGCAAGGAGATCATCTTCTTTTCTTCACAGACAGGCTATCATCTTAATAAGGCAGGTAATAGGAGTGTTCACAGGTCAGGGAGTGGGGCTGATGGAGATGCTTTAATGGAAAAGCACCGTTAGCTCTGAGTAATGATTAGATCACAAAAGCTGGTTGAATTAAATTGACTGTTTTTTTTATGTGTAGGAGAAAAAGGATGTTATTCTGAGTATAAGCTTTCTTTTCTCTTTTTTCAAAACAAGAAACCAATATTCTACCTCAGAGCTCATGGTAAAAGGGAAAGTTGACTTTGCCCTCCACAAAGAAGGAACTCACTGTCACAGTGGATGTGTTCTTGTTTCCAATTATCCTCCCAGCCAGTGATTCCTCTCCTCCTCTTCTCCTCAGGTGTCATTTCCCATTTGACAATGTACAAAGAGGGGGGATGGGGTATCCTTTTCCATAAATTTAATTTCTTTATGTTAAATCTTATAGCAGCTGGGTGCTGGTGTCTCATGCCTGTAATCCTAGCTACTCAGGCTGAAATCTGAGGATCACTGTTCAAAGCCAGGCTGGGCAGGAAAGTCCATGAAATTTATCTCCAACTAATCACAGTAAAAGCTGTTGGAAGTAGTGCTGTAGCTCAAATAGTAGAGTGCTAGCCTTGAGCACAAATAGACTCAGGGACAGCACTCAGGCCTAGAGTTTAAGCCCCGGGCCAGACAAAAATAAAATAAAAACAATCTTATAGCAGAAGATTTAATTTTTTAGTGATTCATTGTGGGTCCCAGATGTTAGGAATCCTATGATTATGAGCATAATAACCCTGCATAAGTTTTCCCCTTACTGAGTTTAGGTATAAATGATTATTCTTTCTTTCTTTTCTTCCTTCCTTCTCTGTCTCCCTCCTTCTTCCCTCCCTCCTTTCTTTTTTCTTGCTTCCTACCTGCCTGCCTGCTTTCTCTCTTTCTTCCTTCCTTCCTTCCTTCCTTCCTTCCTTCCTTCCTTCCTTCCTTCCTTCCTTTCTTTCTTTCTTTCCTTTCTTTCTTTTTTCTTTCTTTCTTTCTCTTTCTTTCTTTCTTTCTTTCTTTCTTTCTTTCTCTCTTTCTGTCTTTCTCTTTCTTTCTTTTTCTTTCTTTCTTTCTTCCTTCCTTCCTTCCTTCCTTCCTTCTTTCCTTCCTTTCTTTCCTTCCATTTTCTTCCTTTATTTCTTTCAGCTTGAACATTGTCCCTGAGCTTGTGTGCTCAAGGCTAGCACTCTACTACTTGAGCCATATCCACTTCTGGCACTTTTTTGGTCATTAATTGGAGATAAGAATCTCATAGACTTTCTTGCCTGGGCTGGCTTTGAACCATGATCCCCAA